CCCGCCCACTGGGGTCCGCCCGTCCGACCCGCCCGCCAGGGCCCACCCGCCCGTCCCGCAGGTTAGGGTCCGCCCGCCCGACCCGCCCGCCCGCTAGGGCCCGCCCGCACGACCCGCCCGTTGGGTCAGCGTGGTTGCTTTGGATGTCGTTTTCCTGAGGCTTTCTACTGGCATCTGTGTTCCAACCTGGTGCCATTCCGCGTATTCCACCCTGTTGCCCGGTCAAGTGCCGCGCAGAATGTATTCCATATTTCACGGCGCAGACTTGGGAACAAATCCTGCTCAGAGCGTTAACAAACATACTTTGATGGTCGTTGTCGTTCTCTCAGCACTCATCATGAAAAACTGCATTCCGGTACGCATCTGGAGACGTAATCATAGAAGTTGCATGACCCTCGCAGAGTCATCTCCCCTTGCTCTTTCTGTTTTTCTGGGTCTGTCTGCTTCGATAGGTAATTATTTTGCTTCTGTTGGCGTCCATGGCCCCATTCGAGAATACAGTGCCTCGCGCCTCGCCTTCCGCAGCGCGAGGCACGGGCTTTCCCGAACCACCCGGGCTGTCCCAAACCAAACGGCCTTCCGCAACACGGGGACTGGGCTTCCCCAAGCCAACCGGGCCTTCCCAAACTAAGCGGGCCTTCCGCAACCCGAGGCCCAGGCCTTTCCAAGACAGCCGGGCCTTCCCAAGCTAACCGGGCTTTCCTAAACGCGATGTTTCACGCATGCCTGCAAAAGGCTCGCTTCGTTTCTTCGCTTGTAAAGGTACCCCACCCGCGAGAACCCCATTTGAAGAGGAACAACTCTCCAGCCGTGTTGCAATTTCACGTGTCTGCACAGTTGGCCAAACAATGCACCCTCCATCACGAGAACCACATTCTTAAGAAAAGGACCCCCCCATCCGTGCAACTGTTGCAAGATTTAGAGCAAGTGTGTGTGTGTGTGTGCGGCGCTGAAACGAGAATCACGTCTCGAACGCGTACTTGCCCCAACAGTCGAAGGCACGGATGGAGGCCGGGTCCTTTTCCAATCGGGGGCCCTCGCGAGAAACGCCTGGGGCGGCCTACGGACACGTCTGGTGGTGTGACAAGGGAGAGTTACTTGGCGGATTCCAGACGCGCTGATCGGGGAGATTCAAGACTCGGGTTCGGGGAACTCGGGTTGATCTAGGGGGACCATCATGAAAATGACAAGGCCCAATCTGAAACTCGACGCGAGCTCCCGCTACAGACATCCGACGAACACTGGACCCTCAACATCCAGGACGCGCTCGTCAAAAAGTGTCGGCGAGCCTGAGGTCCAGCATACTCGAGTCTTACGCTTCCCTGAGCTGCACCCCAAAATGTCACCATCTCTAGACAAGTGCGATCCACTACTCGCAATTGGCCTGAGGGACTTACGATCCATTCCGTAGAGGATGACATGTTTTTTTTCTGATGTTTTCGAGTAGGCACTTCGCGAGTATTGGAACGCGCTCGGTGAATCTCTCGGAGGCGCCAAAAACCACTCCAGGAGGTTTTTGTGTGGGATCCTTGTGAGGGGTTCTCGTTCCCCAAGAATCTCCAGGAAGGGTTTTGGGATCCTGGAGGGGGTAAGTTCAAATTACACCATAGAAAAACTAAATCAGATGATGTTTTGAAACATCGTGAAATGGATATTGAGATCGATTGTGAGATCGATTGTGCGACCGATAGTGGGATCGATCGTAAGACAAATTATAAGATCGATCGTGAGACCGATCGTGAAATCGATTCAGTGATATCGATAGTGAGATCGATCGTGAGATCGCTCGTGCGATCTGTAGTGGGATCGATTGTGAGATCAATAGAGAAGAAATGGTCAATGAGATCGATGGTGAGACCGATCGATAAGGAGATCGACCAAGAACCCGGGAACCCCCGGAAAACCGGGAACCCCGCCGCCCACCAAAATCGGCCCGGAACTTTCGCCAACTCTTTCAGTCTCCGCTGGGACCCCTTCAGTGCAAGCACTGATGGGGGAACAACAAAAACCCTCCAGGAGTCGTTGCTTGGATCCTGGAGGGGCGCTCCTCGGGTCGGGCGAAAAGGGGGGATAGCACAGGGGGAGTTTGAGAATCAGCTCAAGTAACGGATTTTCCCGGCGCCTCCCGGCGCCAGAGGCGGCTATGCATCGAGGAATAGGCCCCTCAGTGAGGCCGAAACCAGCTGCATGCAGCAGATTTCGTACCCCCCCCTTTCCCAATCCCCCCCTTTCGCCCGGCCCGATCCCACCGCCAGGGTCCGCCCGCCCGACCCGCGCGTCAGAGCCCGCCCGCCAAGGCCCGCCCGCGCGCTGAAATCCGCCCGTCCGATCCGCCCGACCCGGCCCGCCCGCCCGACCCGGCCGCCCGCCAGAGGCCGCCCGCCGTTGTCTTCGAGCTCGTTGCCGTCGTCTTCGATGCCCTTTCGTCCGGCCCGAGCTCCGCTCGACAAGAAGCTTCCAGGAGGGGCTGCTTGGATCCTGGAGGGGGGGCTTCTCCGCCGGCGGAGCCGCACCTCCCGGCGGACCGGCCGCCCCGGTCTTGCCTCCGCCGCCCCTCTTCAGGAGGGGAAAAAACACACAGACACACAGACACAGTTAATCGTCGATTCCCCAGAAAATATACGAAAATATGGGAAGTGGGGGGGAAGACAGAAACCCAGAAAACATGGGAAAATATAGGGCATCTTTTCATTTGTGTGTATTTATTTGTGTGTCCCAGGGCCCCTTCACCTCTGCCGAGGGAGGGACGCCAGCTCCTGCGGTCAGCGAAGGCGAGGCCCTCCCTGGAGCGCGCCCTTTGATGAGGAACAGGGATGGACAGTGATGATGTCGGAAGGCTGGTCGGGCTCCCAAAACCGTGTGGTGACAGACCGCGCGGTGACCCCGAAATCCCAGATGACCTCACCGCGCGGTCCGTCACCGCGCGGTCTTGGGACCTCGGAGGTTCCGGTCGACCGAGACGACCTCGGAGAATGACCCCGAGTCCCCAAACCGTGCGGTGACCCCGAATCCCCACTGATTCACCACGCGGTGTGGTCACCGCACCGCCCCCCGAAAGAAGGAGGAAGGGGGAACAATTGGAGATGCGAAAAGGTACCGATACCGCTACTCCCTGGACTTCTGCTGGGGTGCGTTCTGGCCAGGATTTCGAGGTGAATCCAGCGGTGGCCACGAGGGCCTCCCAGGAGGCCCACAGAGGCGAAAACGAGGAAGGGTAGCAGTATCGGTGCCTTTCCCCCCTCTGAGCTTGGCAACTTGTCGTCGCTCGGACGTCCATTCACCGTGCATTTTTGGGCTTCGCGCGTGCATTCTTCGGCAAGATGATTCAAGATGCTGCTCGATGACGCTCGCCGAGAAGAAATGCACACACCAGAGCGATGCCAAGAGTAGTTTGGGGGGCCTTGAGGTAAGGAGGTACCGCTGCCGCCGCCGCCGCGTGGTCGTCGTGGTCGTGGTCGTGGTCGTGGTCGTGGTCGTGGTCGTGGTCGTGGTCGTGGTCGTGGTCGTGGTCGTGGTCGTGGTCGTGGTCGTGGTCGTCGTCGTCGTCGTCGTCGTCGTCGTCGTCGTCGTCGTCGTCGTCGTCGTCGTCGTCGTCGTCGTCCCCCTTCAGGGTCGGCGGCACGGGCCGCGATGCCCTCCCCGTGAGGATGGGGGGACCTTCTCAACCCGTAAGGGAGGGGAGGGGTACGGTTAGAGGAAAGAGAACTATGCACATACACCGATTCTGGCCAGGCCCATCCTGAGCCTAGGATCGGTGCATACGCTCTCCTACCTTGGCTAGGAATGTATGTGCACCGATCCTGGGTCAAGGATGGGCCTTGCCAGGATCGGTGCATGTGCATAGTTCCCTTCGCCCGAACGGTCGGACCCTGGGGCGATGGCCCAGGCCCTCCAGCTCCCACCGCGCGGCGCCTCGGCGCTCTGCTCTCCAGGGCCGGCCCCCGGAGGCCTCAGGACCTGCCTCGGCGAGGCCCCCGAGAGGACCCCCCCGAGATCCCAACGCACGTCCTCCTCCTCCTCCTCCTCCTCCTCCTCCGCCTCCTCCTCCTCCTCCTCCTCCTCCGCCTCCTCCTCCTCCTCCTCCTCCTCCTCCTCCTCCTCCTACCCAGGCGCGGCGGTGGGATGGGCCGAGCGCCTCAAGATTCCATCCGGATGCATCGCATCGTGCTCTGCTCTCTGTTCCTTCTCGGGGTCGGCGGAACGACGTAAGCCACTTGGGCGACGATCGAGAACGGGTCTTGCGCGAGATGACATAGGCACCTTACGCGGCGGCTTTCGCGGGCCGCCACCGCGGCACGCCTCGTTGGCCACGAGGGCGCTTACGCGCGACCTTACGCGGGCAGCTTACGCGCTAACGTCGGTGAAGACGACCCCGTTTTCTTGCGCCGCTCACTTGAATGATTCAACATAGAAGGGCCCCTAACCCTTTGGGAGGCGACCTAAGCTATGAGGGCCATGAACATGAGGAATGGGGGGTCTTTCCTGCAGATGTATCGAACCAAACCGCCCAGATCTATGATCCCTCATGCAAACACGGGGCCCCAAGTGAGGCCACGTCTTCACTGCTATTAGGGTATGGCGTTCCATGAGTCTCGATGATTGAAAGAGGGGGGCCAGTGACCAGGTCCTCCAGCTCCTGCATGGCGCTCTCCTGCAGAGCTGGCCTCAGAACGGCCCCCAGGGTCGGCCCCAGAATGGCCCCCAGGACGCGCGACCTTACGCGGGCAGAGTACGCGCCAATTTCGGTGAAGACGGCCCCGTTTTTCTTGCGTCGCTCACTTGAATACCCAGAGATCCGATGTCGTCACTTTCTCAATACGCGAATCCCGGACGTCTCGACCCATTCCCCAGGACTGGTTTTGCATCGTGAATCGCAATCTGCCAGTCCTGGGGCCCGGGGAGGGCCCCCAGAGGCCGAAAACTGCAAAAAACACCTGTCTTGATTTTGTTATTACCGTTGGATCTCTGGGTAATGAAGGGGGGGGAGCAGCGAGCAGGTCCTCCAGCTCGCGCATGGCGCTCTCCTCCAAGGCCGTCATCTCCACCGCCCTCCCGGGGCCGCAGGCCGGGGCGCTCCGGAGGCCTCCGCCCTTCCCGGAAGAGGGGAGGGAGGGGTTCTCGCCCTCCTTCGGGGCCCCTCCTCGCTCGCTCTCCCTCTCCCTCCTCGCCCCCCTCCTCGTGCTCCCCTCGCCCTCCCCCTCGTCCGCTCTCTCCTCGTCCTTCCACTCCCAGTCCTCCTCGTCGCTCTCCCTCCTCGCCTTCCTCCTCGTGCGGCGCCGGCGAGCGCAAAGGATTTGGTCACCGCGTCGATCGCTCAACCTTGAACCGATCGCGGCCCCGAGCGTTCAAGGTCGCATTCCAGTGGCGTCGGCGTGTACCTCGGTGCTTCCGCATCGCAGAATTCAGCCTTGAACGCCGTCGCCGGCGTCGCCGGCGCGCCATCGCCGCATGAACCTACCGTAGGAGTAGGAACCAGTTGCGAGTGCCAGAACGCCGAAAGACAGGAACGATTCAAGAGAATACCCTTGCCGCCGCCTTTGTAGGTCGGCCTTGCTCAAGACTTTGGGGGTGAGCCCATCTCTGATTCGGTCCAGTGCGTGAGGGGGTCCGCAGGGTTTGCCCAGCGATCTCAGGGGGAGAGACGACCACAGGGTGAGAAGGGAAGAACACAGGGTGAGCATAGGAGAAAAGGCATTCGTCATTATCGTGATCAGTAAAGAGCGAAGGACTGATAGCAGGAGGCGAGCAGCATCTAGTATTTGAGGGAAGGATTTGGGGTTCGGCCAGGCCTGCGCGGAGTTGCCTACGGCCAGACGAATCGAAAGGGCGCTCCCTCCGCAGCCGCCGCCTGCAAGCGCACGTGCGCGAACAGGGACAGCGGCCTACTGCGCTGGGTCCATGCTGGGAAATCCCCCATGAGGCATCGAAGAAGCCCCCAAGAGGCCCCCGAGAGGCACCCAAAGAACCCCAAAGGCACTCCCAACCCCAAGGGGGTAAACTCAAATTATGTTCCTTAAGCTTTTGGATAATGTTCGTCGTCGTTGGCGTCGTCGTCGGCGTCGTCGTCCCCCTCCTTCGGGGTGGGAAGAGGGAGGAGAAGCGATTGTTTGTGCTAATTCGGTGCACATTCGCTTCACCTTCTGATACTTCGGGAGGCCTGCGGAGACCTCCACAGACGGCTGGGCCGAAGAAGAGGGGGGAGATCTACGATGAAGGATGGAAGGGAAAGAGGGGGGAAGCTTTCAAACGACCAGAGCGCAAGATAGAGCCATCCTGACCAGAAACCGAAACGTAAGGGTAAGACCGTCGGGTCCTTCCGAAAATGTAAGACCGTCGGGTCCTTCCCACCGTCCCGTGACCGGAGCTTCCATCCTCCCCTCCTGCCGCAATCATGCTCTCCGACTCCCCGCCCACCCTCTCCGCATCCTCTGTCCCTGGCCTTCACTCCTACCTCGCCCCATCCCCCTCCCGCTCTCCATCAATCGACCTGCCCTCCCTGCCCCCCCCTATCCCTCCTGACTCCTCATCCTCCTCCTTCCCTTTCTTTGCTCATCCTCATCATCCTCTTCGTCTTCTCTAAAATGAAGAAGAACTGTGTAAACATACACACCCGGATGTCCGCGAACATTTCTTGGATCGGCACCCGGAAAGCCGCCAGGGAGGCCCCAACGCCGATCCGAGAACTCCGCACGGCGCTCAGGCAATTTACGTTTATGCACTTTGCTATTATTCGCCTTCCTCCTCTTCCTACTCCTCCTCCTCCTCCTCCGTCCTCTCCTCTTCCATCCCCTCTTCCTCATGTTATAACTCCCCGAGACGGGTCGGTAGGGCGGCCCGGGCGTTTCGCCTGACCCTTCCTCACCCTTGACGATCCTGAAGCTGAGAAGCTGCACCAGTTTCACGGATGGAGGGCGGGCCGTTTTCTCCATGTGGTTCCTGCCCTAGCGCCGCGCGCGCTCGTCTTAAACATTTGCACGAGGTTTACGTATGGAGGGCGGACCGTTTTCAAAATGTGGCTCTCGCCTTAGCGCCGTGCACATTCGTCATAAACGCTCGCACGAGTTCCACAAATGGAGGCGGGCCGTGTTCAAAATGTGGTGCTCGCCTTGACGCCGCGCACATTCGTCTTAGACATTTGCCAGAGTTTCACGGATGAAAGGCGGGCCATTTTCAACATGTGGCTTTCGCTGTAGCGCCGCGCAATGCGTTGTAACAGTTTCTTTTCGTTGACGTCTCAGAAACTGTTTGGCACAGCTTAGGGTTGTCAGGACGCGACATTCACACTGATCTGGTGTGTTGAAGTCCCAAACATGGTTGTCTGGCACGAGGTTCCAGGAATGGTGCTTTGGCATGGTTGCAGATCAGCATACAGTTGTCTTCCAACGGGGGCACTTCCCGCTGCGGAAATACATCATTGTAGGGATCTGCGGTGAGGGAGCTTGGAGGGAGGGTTCATTGCAACATCTTTCATGGGCTTGGGTTTTACACTGGTCCTCCTCCTCCTCCTCCTCCTCCACCTCCTCCTCCCGCCGCGCCCCCTTCCTCCCGCTCGCTCCTACCTCGCTCTCTCCCTCCCCTCGCTCTCCATCACTAAACCTACTCTCGCTCTCACCCCCCTTCTCTCTCCTACTTCCCGTCCATATCCTTTTCTCCCCTTCCTCCTCCTCCTCCTCCTCCTCCTCCTCCGCCTCCTCCTCCTCGTCCTCCTCCTCCTCCTCCTCCTCCTCCTCGTTCTCCTCCTGGAGGCTGAGGGCAGCGGAATAAGACGCTGCCATACCCTTCCAGTGGGACTGCCGCTGGGGAGATGACAATCCCAAATCTCCATAAGAAAAACGTAAGCGTAATGCGTGGCGCTCCGGGCGACAAAGCATCCATGCCCACCAGCGGCCTCTAGAGGGAGGACAGGGTCCTCCGTCTCCTCTTTCCCATCCTCAGTCCCCTTCTCTCTCTTTTCTGCTCCTCTCTCTTCTCCTCATCCTCCTCCTCCTCCTTTTCCTTCCTCCGTCCTCCTTGCTCCTTGCTCCTTCCTCCTGACTCCTTGTTCCTTCCTCCTTCCTCTTTCCTCCTCCTCCTTGCTCCTTTTTCCTTTCATTTTCCTCTTTCCTCCTCCTCCTTGCTCCTTTTCCCTGATTCCTTCCTCCTTCCTCCTCCTGGTCCTTTTTGCTTTATAAATAACTTCTCCCTGTCGCACTCCGAGGCCAGCTTTTAGGGCGGGCCGGGCGTTTCGCCAGGGACTTCCTCACCACTAGTGAAGGGCGGGCCGTTTTCAAAATGTGGCTCTCGGCTTCGCGCGGCGCGCATTCGTTTCAATTATCCTGGCGAAGGACCCAACCATATGCAATTGTGAGTAACGCGTTGTGGGTGCCGTTTTCGGTAGAACTCCCTACGGGGCCACGAAACGCGCGAGGGACGTGGCGTAATGGGTGGGGAAGACGGATGCGGGTGGTGCCACTGGGGCCTTCGGTGGGGCTCCCTATGTGCCACGAAACGCTGTCCTGGGTGTAGCTGACGCATGCGGGCGGTGCCCCTCGCTGGAGCTCCCTGTGGGGCCACGAAGCGCTGCATTGGTTGGGGGAAAACGCATGCGGGCGGTGCCGCTGGGACCTTCGGTGGAGCTCTTGGTGGGGCCACGGGAGGGGGGACGCATGCGGGCGTTGCCACTGGGGCCTTCGGTGGCCACTGGAGCTCCCTTCGGGGCCACGAAACGCTGTACCGGGTGGGGGTGCCTTACGTGGAGCTCCCCATGGGACCACGAAGCGCTGTACTGGGTGTGGCGGACCCACCCAATACAACATTTCGTGGCCCCATAGGGAGGAGCTCCACCGACGGCCCCAGTGTTACCGCCCGCATGCGTTCTCCCCCCCCACCCAGCGCAGCGTTTCGTGACCTGGGGCCACGAAGCGCTATACTGGGTGGGCCAAACTGCCAAATTGGGTGTGCGGGATGCATGCGGACGGTCCCACTGGGGGCTTCGGTGGGGCTTCTTATGGGGCCACGAAGCGCTGCACTAGGTGGGCGAAACTGCCAAATTGTGTGTGTGTGCGTGTGTGGTGTGAGTGTGTGTGTGTGTGTGTGTGACGCATGTGGGCGGTCCCACTGGGGGCTTCGGTGGAGCTTCCTATTGAGGCCACGAAGCGCTGTACTGGGTGGGTGGAAATATCAAATTGCGTGTGCGGGACGCATGCGGGCGGTCCTACAGGGGGCTTCGGTGGAGCTCCCTATGGGGCCACGAAGCGCTGTACTAGGCGGGTGGAAATGTCAAATTGTGTATGCAAGACGCATGCGGATGGTCGCCCTGGCCACGAAACACTGTACTGGGTGTGGTGGACGCACGTGGCCACCCCTACTTGGGCCTCCGATGGAACTCCGTATGGGGCCACGAAACGCTGGACTGGGTGTTGCAGACGCATGTGGCCACCCCCAGTGGGGCCTTACGTGGAGCTCCCTATGGGGCCACGAAGCGCTGTACTGGGTGTGGCGGACGCACCCCCACTGGGGCCTTGGGTGGGACTCCCTGTGGGGCCACGAAGCGCTGTACTGGGTGTGGCGGACGCATGTGGTCCCCCACTGGGGCCTTACGTGGAGCTCCCTATGGGGCCACGAAGCGCTGTACTGGGTGTGGCGGACGCATGTGGTACCCCCTTTGGGCCTTACGTGGAGCTAGCTCCCTATGGGGCCACGAAGCGCTGTACAGAGTGTGGCGGACGCATGTGGTACCCCCACTGGGGCCTTACGTGGAGCTCCCTATGGGGCCACGAAACGCTGTACTGGGTGTGGCGGATGCATGTGGTACCCCCACGGGGAGGGGGGCACTGGAAGAGGAGGCGCGGGGACCGTTTCTTCAAAAAGAGGAACCAACACCACAGGACGGTTGGGACACGAAATGAATGCGGGTCGTTTCCAAAATGTGGCTCTCGCCTTAGCGCCGCGCGCATTCGTTTTACATTTTCGCAAGAGCTTCACGGATTGAGGGCGGGTCGTTTTCAAAATGTGGCTCTCGCCTTAGCGCGGCGCACATTCGTTTCAAACAGTTGCAGGAGTTTCGCGGATTCTCACCATCAACGTAGCAGAAGTGGTGTTCTGGAAGGATTCAGGATTATGCGAGTACAACAGTTACGTTGATTATGTGTTGAAGTCCTACGAATGGCATTCTGGCACGATTCAGGATTGTCAAGACGCAACAGTCAGTTTGATCCGTAACGTTGGAATCCCGAGAACAATGTTTGGGCATGCTTCAGGGTCTTCAAACGGGTGTCTTCCAACGAAGCTGTTCTATCAATGGAGATGAACCGTTATAAGGGCCTGTGAAGAGGGAGCTTGGAGGGAGGGTTTACCCCGCCATCGTTTAACTCACACTGGAATCTCCTCCTCCTCCTCCTCCTCCTCCTCCTCCTCCTCCTCCTCCTCCTCCTCCTCCTCCTCCTCCTCCTCCTCCTCCTCCTCTTCCTCCGCCTGCCCGCGCCCGCGGGGGGCCGCGCAACGCCTGTGCGCCTCCGGCTTGTCGGGGGGCCCGCCCGCCCGCTCGCCCGCGCCGGCGCCTGGGGCGGCGTCGCCCCTGCCCCCGCCCAGGAGGACAGGCGGGCGCGCACAGCCCCCCCAAAGCAGGAGGAGGAGGAGAGGAGGAGGAGGAGGAGGAGGAGGAGGAGAGGAGGAGGAGGAGGAGGAGGGAGGAGGAGGAGGAGGAGGAGGAGGAGGAGGAGGAGGAGGAGGAGGGAGGGAGGGAGGAGGGAGGGAGGAGGAGGAGGGAGGGAGGGAGGAGGGAGGGAGGAGGGAGGGAGGAGGGAGGAGGAGGAGAGGAGGAGGAGGAGGAGGAGGAGGAGGAGGAGGAGGAGGAGGAGGAGGAGGAGGAGGGCAGGAGGAGGAGGCGCCTCCCAAGGCGCTCGTTGAATGGCTTGGGAGGGTCATTGTGCCGTGCAAAAAAAACAGGAGGAGGAGGAGGAGGAGGAGGAGGGAGGAGGAGGAGGAGGGAGGAGGAGGAGGAGGAGGAGGAGGGGCAGGAGGAGGAGGAGGAGGAGGAGGAGGAGGAGGAGGAGAAGGAGAGGGACGGGAGCCAGGAAAATGAAGGGAACCATGCAAGCGGGGGGGGGGGGCAGGGGAGGTGACAAGGGCCTCGCTATTTGTTGGAAAAGTGTTTCGCCACTTTCGGGCACCCGGGCCCTTTTGGCGGCGCGCACAAGGGGGTAGGGTGGGGGAAGGCTTCTTCTTAGGAGGCTGCTTATTAGAATGCGCCGGCCTTACATCCATAAGAATGTGTCGAGACTTCCGTGGCTAAGGGGGGTAAGGGGAGGGGGGCCAGCTTCTTGGACACAGGTGTGCTTCTAAGAAGCCTTCCCCCTCCCCCTAACCTCCGTCCGCGCGTGACTGTTAGAAAGGGGCCCTGGGACACACAAATAAATACACTCAAATAACAGGATTCCCCACATTTTCCTATATTTTCTGGGTGTTGGTCTTCTCCCCCACTTCCCATATTTTTCAACCTTTTCTGGGGAATCGACGATTAATTGTGTCTATGTGTTTTTTCCCCTCCTGATGTTAAGGGGGGAGGAGGGCAGGGAAGGGACGCAAACGGAGGAGAGGAACATGGGAGGGGAGGGGAGGACCGATGGCGAAGGGAGTTGGCGCGCGAGCGCGTAGAGCAAAGGAGGGGGGGAGCACGGCCCCCCGGCCGCGCCACCGTCCCATCCGCATTCCCGCTCTGCGCCTCTTCTGAAAGGGCCCTGGGACACACAAATAAATACACACAAATAAAAGGGTTCCCCATATTTTCCTATATTTTCTGAGCTCTCGTCTTCCCCACCACTTCCCATATTTTCCCATGTTGTCCTGGGAGTGGACGATTGATTGTGTCTGTGTGTTTTTCCCCTCCTGATCTTCTCTCGTCCGCCCCTCCCTCCGCCTTCCAGCCTCTTGAATCGAGCCTGGTGTGCACCAGCGCGCGCGGTGGAGCGCAACCTCAATACCTGGGGTCCTCCCAAACGGGGAGGGTGGGGAGCCGTCGGGCAATCCCCAGGCCGAGACGCGGAGGGAAGGAGGAGCTAACTGCTAACTAACCAGTGATGTCGCCCAGTCGGCTCAGGATCCATGGATGAAGAGGGCTGTCGTGAACAAGGGGGAGGGGGAGCGACGTATTGCGTTAAGCATTTTACTTCACAGCTCCGACCGCGCACTGGATGAGTGGAAGATGACCGTGCAGCTAAGAGAGGAGGGGGGAGAGGAAGGCGAAGAAGGAGGGGGAGGAGGAGGACCTTGTACCTTTTACCGATGGTGCGTGGTGACTGGCAGCAGGGCTAGGCAGGCGCAGCGAAGTTATATATCAGGGAACCTCCCTCCAGATTTCGGAGGCTTCCCTCTTTTCAGGTTCCCGAGGGCTTCTTTCCCAGCTTTCGTGGGTGGGCCGCAGGGGGAGGAGGAGGAGGAGGAGGAGGAGGAGGAGGAGGAGGAGGAGGAGGAGGTGGAGGAGGAAGGACACAGGAAGGGAGGAAGGACGAATAAGCGAGAGGGAAAAATAAATGACGAGAAGAGAATGATAGGGAGGGAAGGAAGGAGAGAGGGGGGGGGATGGAGGGAAGGCGGGAAAGGGAGGCAAACGGACAAACAAACATCTCTGGTGGCTTCGATGATGGTTTTACTACGGAAAGCCCGAGGAACGATCTACAATCGCAATGTTTGGGCTCAGCCCGCCCGCAAAAAAGACGTGTCCCTTTTGTTGAACGACCTTACCACTGAAGGAAACATCCCAGGACCACGAATTCACAGTGGCTGAACGGCCCTCGCCCGAGGGGTCAGCAGCAGCGCCCTCACCCCGGCAATGATTCCATCGAGGCTCTTCTTACGAAGCTCTGTAACAGCAAACCCATCTCGAAAAGGATAACAGCACGGCGCTTCGAAGATCGAGGGGCATGGGGGTAGGTCCGAGGCTTCTGGCGGACGGCGCTGGCAGCCGGCTCGCAACGATCAGTCGACGAGACCGCCGTCGAAAGCGGGAGCGATGGATGACCCGAAAACCTGGTTTCCCGAACCCCCTCTTTAAGATCCTGAGGGGTGGTATTTGTGGACAATCATTTTCGGCGCCCCCGGGAGGGTGATGGGCGCGTGGAAAACGCTGGTGATCATCACCAACAGGTGGCTCACGAAGATCCGCAGACAACGGCTGCAGCGGCAGACATGTACTCAGAATGCCCCCAACATCAGTCATGGTGTCGTATGCAGAACACTCGAAACGCCGATGGCCTTGGTCGCTCGTCATGCGGCGGGCTGCGACGCTGGGGACCGACGTGCTCACCGTGTCTTGGTGCTGGCAATATTGCGCCCATCTCGCCACCAATCGCTTGCGTCGCGGCAATTAGAGGCCGATCTCCTCCAGGCAAAGCGTGCAGGAGCCGCCCCATGTGTGACATTGGCGCCACGTCATGCTTCCACGAGCCTCCTCATTGCTCCAGACATTACCTAACAAATCATCAGGTCGTCGCCCTGGCCAGCTGGATCTTGACGTGCCCCTCCTCGAATACCTCGGATGTCTTCCAAACTGGAAATTGTTGACGGCCACCTCGTGCGAATATCGATTGGTCTTCGAGTGGTGGAGCTCCTCGGATTCTTGGACCCAATAAGTCCTACCGCCGTACCTGGCTGGATGAGACTTTCATGAGTCCGACTATCGGTGCCAACGAGATGCTTCTGAGCCTGTCGAGCTGGTCCTGCGGCGCCTCTGGCTCTCGCGAAGCTTGCTGATGGCTTCTTTCCGCGCCTCCACACGATACTGGGACATCGATCGTGGCGGGGGCGATCACGGTGATCAGGGCGTACGATTCGATCTGCTCGCGCTTGAGGAATGCACTTATCAATTGCTTGAGTACAAGGGCGAACAACTTACGGATCACCTCGCTGTCCGTCATTTCCAGGTTGTCGAGCTCCTTCTGGGGAATATTCGGGTCGGGCTTGCGGTCGCCTTTGCCTCGTCCTCTGCCCCAAACATCTGCTCGACGCGCCAGTGGGCAGACGTTGCTCCGTGCATCGGGGCAGCCGGCAACGAAGCCTTCGGCGCAGCTCGGAACATCCCGAAGACACGGCGGCCCCTGTGTAAGCAAGTAGATGACGACGTACCTCTGACAGTCCGTGAACCTACCAACATGCTGCGGCGAACGACAATGACAAGGCTGGATGCCGCTTTCGGCGATCTCCTCATTGCGGGCCGACAGGTCCACTTAACACCTCCCGCTCCGCCCTGATGCGCTTGGCGCACATGGCGAAACGCGTTTCTAGAGTTTTGGATGGCGAATGATATGCGACATGCTGGCTCGTGATGGCAATGTGGCGTATGAAATGTGTACAGTCGGGGCGTTGACCTAAGGAACCCTAAATAAGGAACGAGGCCCCTGTTTTCCATAAGTTAAACTTCGATTTCCTATCGAAAAGAAAACATAAGGAAAGCCTGAGGCAAGCTGTGAAACACTTAAGGAACGCGGAGCCCCTCCCCAACCAAAAGGGTTCCTTCTTCAGGGCCCCGACTGTATGAACTGTGTATGACCATGTTACCCTCCCGCCGTGTTCTGCTGATGGGTCTGCAGCGCGCGGTGGCTTCAGAAGCACCGGCCGCACGGGAGGCCGTCAGAGTCAAGAAGCACACATTCCTGCTCCCCGTCAGCAGCCTCACCTTCCTTCACTGGCCATCGCTCGGACGTCCATTTCCTGTGCTTGTTTGGTTTCGTGCGTTTTTTTTCGCCAAATGATCAAGGATGCTCCTCGATGGTCCTCGCCGAAGGAAAAATGCACACGTCCGAGCGATGCTCAGTTCACAAAAACAGAAGCATGCGCTTGATGAAATCTCGACGGCGATCCTCGTATCGAATCTCTGCGAAAAATAATCACCAATCACCAGCCTCCAAAAAGTACGACCAGCTTCCACAAACTCATGGATTCGTGCCCGCCGTAATGGTACTAGTCAATGCTGACGGGGCCCAGCTGAAGACAGTAGGCTCTTCTTCAAAAGGTCGGACCGAGGACAAGAGAACATCCTTCAAGAACATGGGCCCCTCCGCCCGCCAGAACACCCAACACCGTAAGAAAACTCGAGGGTGCCCCCCAGGATGCACGAGAACATCCAACAGATACGAAGAACATTAGGATACCTTCCCCGAGCCGACCTCGACCTTATACCTCGGTCTGGCCGTACTCCATAATACTGAAGACCGCCGCCCACTGTTCCATATGCCGCGTCGGTTTATGTGCCACGCGCTGCCAGCTTCTAAGGCGCTGCACGCATACTTCAAGCTCGCAAGATGGAACATCTTCCATAGCTACATCTTAGTAGGAATTCGAGTAACCTGCGTGGCGCGGACCTGCTCATCCGTACTCTCGATTGTTTGGCGACTCCACGAAGCAAGACTTTGCCGTACTTGCTATCACCGAGGTCCTGAGAACTAATGAAGACTACCCGGTGACGGTGCTCCAGAAAACTAGCTTCGTGCCGCCAGGGCGCTTCAGAGTGCATAACCTCTCCATTATGTGCCAGCTTTGCGTCGCTGCTGTCCGTCTCGCTTCC